GCCATTTACCCCCGTTGAAAGGAAAGCATTAGCGAAGTCTCAAGCTTTTCAATAATCGCAGGCACATGGCTATGGTTCACCGTGCGTGGTTGCAAACTCGTACCCGCGGCATTTCGCCTCCACGGTTATTGAAGTCGGCGAAAGCTTGGCGTGGGATTGGCCAAAAACATCGGAACTGTAGTCTGCCGAAGACGATTTGTCTCACATATTTTATGGACAATTGCCAAAAAATCAATCTAAAATTAGCCCCTAACATAATTAGAATTCAGTTTCATGGCGTCTCTGTAAAGTTTGGTCTTCAACTTTATTTGGTTTCATGAAAAGGTGATTTCTTCGTTTCCATATCTTGTTTCCCTCGTTTTGTAGGGTTGTATTCTTCCAGAAAAAGATAAGGCAATTAAATGTCGAGTTCATGCTGACAAGCGTGCTTGACCAGAGGCCCCAACCTAGAACAACGTCGGTACTTAATAGAGATTTGGAGACCAGGAGTACGCAGTTGTGCAGCAGACCTGGGCAGCAGCAGAGGAAGAAACACAGCGCAGCAAGAAGACACGTAGAGATCTTTTTTAAAGTTAATTTACTTTCTAGTGCGGAGATGATAGCAGGATAGTCTCCTTCACCCTGTCCTAGGGAAGCAGCTACACAATTATCATTTTCTCGTATTCGTCTTGCTATAATAAAAATCTTGTAGTTTATGAAGAACAATACAAAAAACAGGATCCCAAGAAAACATGCTGGCGCCACCTCAGCAGGGAACACGAAATCTTTATAAGATAAAGTAAGTTGAACTAAACCTAATACTTCGAGAAGAAAAAGTAGGGCAATTAGTCGCTTTCTTGTGACAGATCGTTGATGAAAGTACGGATAAGTTAACGCTACATATCGTTCGACGTTCATTATCAGCAATGTGAGTAAGGATGACCCGTAAAATATGGCAGATATATTCAAGTTGATTGTGTGAAATATTTCATATTCCATGATACACCATGAGATAGTTGACAACATTATCAAAGGATGTGTGATGATAACCACAGCTAAGTCAAAACAAGCGAGAACAAGGATCATAAAATAACATAATTTATTTCGTAGCTGACCAGATCGCCAGAAGCATAATATGACTGTTGAGTTCAGAAATATTCCGGTTAACATGAAAATTGTATTTACAGTGCAGAGTAAAATTGTGTTGAGCAAAATGACCAGTTCCATCCTTGCCTTTTCTTTTTGTCTCAGAAAGAAGCCTTAAAGTTTATTAATTTATCATTATCAGATAGCAATAATACATACATTATCAGAACGCGGCACCGCTCGTTTGTGTTGTAACATCTGTGCTATTTGAATAATTATGTGAAGAAGCAATTATGTTACATTCATCTTGGCTTGGCAGTTGCGGAAAACAAACTTATTATGGCAAATTAAAGTTTTCAATCCGTCAGCCCAAGATCTTCGTAGGTGTTCGCACTGATGATGGCTGAACTTACGGATCGAAAACTTTGCCATAATAAGCAAATAAGAAATACACGTGATGTTTTCCACAAGCTTTATATTGAAAGTTATGCCGTAAGCAGTGGCGTAGCCAGCCGGACAATTTAGTCCCGCTATATGCCAATTCAAAATTATTACCGTTATTCATTTCTTTAGAAATTGATAATTTTCACAGTGGAACACGAAAATATTTGCATAGCAGAACTAAATCGTCGGGCTGCCTACGCTACTGACAGAAAGAATAAATTATCTTTTGTATTGTGTTTGTTTACAATGAAGCCATTTATTATTTATGATTATTAGATAAAGCATAGTGCTTTGTAGAGATTTCGAGCACTGATAAAGTGATAATCTCACATGTGAGATTATTCATGATAATCTCACATGTGAAAATTATCGCGTTTCAATTATCGCTTTTCTGTAAAAATTATCGCTTTTCAAAGACTGTCCTTTATATAATAAACAGAAAAATATACATGGGTGTTTGGAAATACCAGATTTATTTCTCGTGATGAACATAATATCTCACTCGTTCGCTGCGCTCACTCGTGAGATATCATGTTCAACACTCGAAATAAATCTGGTATTTCCGCGCACCCATGTATTATTCTCTATTTATTAAATAAAGTATAGTGCTTTATAGAGACTTCGAGCGCTGATAAAACAGATAATCTCACATGTGAGATTTTTTATGATAATTTGACATTAATAATTATCCCTTTTCTACAAAAATTATCGCTTTTCAAAAATTGTCCTTTATATAATAAAGACAAAAATACATGGATGCTTGGAAATATCGGACTTATTTCTTGTGTAGATCATGATATCTCATTCGTTTGCTGGGTTTACTCTTGAGATATCATGTTTAATACTCGAAATAAAGCTGGTATTTCCGCGCACCCATGTATTTTATTCTCTATGTATTCCCATATGCAATGGTAAGGATCAAATCTTAAACAATAATAAGCATCGGTAAATACTCCTTCAACCAGCGTCGCCATACCAACGATGTTAGATGTTGCACTTTCCTCCACCGTTGCTGTGGATGAAATCCAGTCGTTTCTTCAGCTTCAGGGGCAAACTGACCACCCATCTGGCCATAAAGGAGATGATTTGGAGTCAGCAGGATTAAGTCACGAACATCGGCAGACTGATACGTTAACGGTCTGGAATTTATAAGACTCTCAACTCCGGTAAAAATGGTGATCAATTCCTCAACATTGACATCACTGTTTCTTAGTACTGCGTATATCGCTTTCTTTGCAGCCTTTACCATTATTTCGTGAGCTCCCCAGATATGTGGGGCGGCAGGCAGGTTGAACAACCATCGAACTCTCTTATCCGTTTGATTTTCTCTTTGTCTAACTGACCAGCAAGCTTCTCAGTTCGTTTACCGCTCCAGTGAAGTTAGTACCATTGTCACTTACAACCTCCTTGGGTACTCCTCTCCTGCCAGTTAATCGAACGAATGCATTAAGGAAAGCATCTGTGTCCAATGACCATGCCATCTCCAGGTGTACAGCTCTGACTGATAGACATGTGAACACGCATAGATACCGCTTGTGTCTCTTTCGACCACGATCCTGAATGGTGATAAACGGACAACCAAAATCTACTGCCCATTTATCAAACGTCCGATAGGTGAATCGCAATCTCACACCTGGAAGCGGGGCCATCACTTGGCTGGCTGACTTGTTCCGTCTCCTTCTGCAACCGTAGCACTGGTTTTCCCAATCTTGAATTTCCTCACGTGCCGCAATAATCCAAAATCTTTCACTCAGTTGACTGAGAATGAAATTTACCCCAGCTGCATGGTTCGCTTTCTCGTGGTAATGTTTTACTATCAATCTTGTAACCCAATGTCCTCGTGGCAGGATAACTGGACTTCGCACGTCATACGGTAGTTGCTCTGCGAAACTGAGACGCCCTTGTGATCGAATAATTTCATCTGCGTCAATTATGGGATTTAATTTAACCTTGAAGCTGACTCTTTGCTGAAACAGGTCTTCCTTTCTTGATTTCACTGTACTCGGCAACAAAAATCTTCACTCTGAGCGGCACGAATGACTTCCATTTCAGCTTCCCTGAGCTCGTCTGAAGTCAGTTCCTTTTGAGTTTGTCTTCAGCCCTGATGACGCATGTTGAACAGCGCTCTTCGAACTCTGGCTGTTCATCGTTTACTTGAAGGAAGAGACGTTTTTGCCGTTATGCCAACGGGGATTGCTTGTCGTGACTCGTGAAGTGTTGGAATAGCAACATTACTACTGGGGTAAACTATATAGTAACCTTTACTTGAGTTTCATTAATTTCAAACATATTTGATACGTTATATGTCCTTCAAGAAAATTATCTTTTGGTTGATGTTGACTCTGTTCTTGCACTGAAGAAAACAGCGCTCTTCGCGGTGAAGATTTAGAGGCAGTTGCATGTAAGCATATTCGAAACACTTTGCGATTTCCAGGGCTTTTCGCTCTCTCGCTGAGAGAGCGAAACAGAAGACGGTAATTGACTTTTGAAACGAAACGATCTGGACTCTGAACGCTCTCTTCTTTTGTCGAGTTCTCCAAACGACATAACTGAAATAAATTTTGTACTTTCCGCCGCCAACAAGAATTGCACACATGATCTGATATGTGAGACAATTTATTTATAACAATGGCTACAGCGAAGCACTCATTAATGCTAATGTGGTCGCATTACTTCCCTTACGATTTGAAGTTTGAGACTCGTTTTTCTGTTGAAATTCGTCCTAATTTGCCTGTTCCGATTTTAGTTGAAATTGAGCCCTTGCAAATTTGGCAATTACTGACTGCGTTGCTTGCGTTTTTGGAGTTACACATTGTTCCTATTCTGAATAAGCAGAGAAAACCCTTCAACATTTTAATGCGAGTTTGTTTTTTAATATTTGGGTTGCTGTCATTGGCTCTTTTTTGACAATTGACGCGCGAATGGGGCGTGTTATGAAAAGGGGCGTTTTACAAAATACCTAGTCTTACTTGCAGGCCCATTATTCTTCCCTCTGTGGGCCTGCACGCGGGCTAGCCCATAATGCCGTAATGGCCTCACTGATGATTAATTAAAGGATACCGAATGGTTTTCCGTACAGGATTGCGTGATCCACGCACGAAGGATGTCGCGATACTTTCGGAAAGCGTAAAAATGCTCGAGCCGCAGGCGATTGTATTTTTACGCCTTCCGAAAGTAGAGCAACATACAGGTAAAATGGCTTAACTGATGGCCCAACGGGATAGTCTATAACGAATAAGGCATCAACTTTCGAAATTATAAACACGAAAAGAAAAGACAAGAAACAATAAAAGCCCATATACTGTAGTAAGACACATTTGTCAACATTGGAATAGTGTTAGCCCTACCTTTTAGGCATCATCTCTGATCTCAAAACTGGGTATAGCATGCAAGCTTTTGAATTCAAGGCATTAATGTTGAAGCAAGAATATATATCATGAAGCGATATTTTAAATTTGCTGATTCTTCACGAATCAAATGGTGACGTGCCAGCCTTCGTGGCCTGACGAATAAGGCGTCGGCTTTCTAAGCCGAAGATTACGGGTTCGAGTCCCGTCGGAGGTAAATCTATTGAGAAAAAGATTTCAATTAAAAAAAAACTAAAGGCGAAAAAGGGCATCCGATGAAATCCGCGAAGAGTGAATGACAATGAGAAGTGAAAATATATTTGACAATGGGCCGCCTTTTAAATGGTGCGAGCCTAACCTTTTTGACTGGCAGCCCATGATAATGCATTGAATTAAAATCAGGAGATCTATACCTAACTCGTCAATGTAAGCCTTCGTGGCCTAATGGATAAGGCGTCGGCCTCCTAAGCCGAAGATTGCGGGTTCGAGTCCCGTCGGAGGTAAGTTGTAGGTGTAGATTCGATACAATTTTTTAGTAGCGTTGCCCAACAAATTTAAATGGCTGCGATTATTATGCATTAAAAATAGTCGGAAGAAAGAAGACAAAATTTCATAGATAGTTAATTAGATTGAAGTAAATTCAATTTAATGTGAGTTTGGAGGTCAATACAATATTTCCACGTACATTTGATTGCCAATAAAAAATTCGTAGAATGTTTTATCATTGTACAATCCTTATCAGTTATTAGGGATTATGACACACGTCATTAGTACTATGAAGTTTTCAATGTAATAAGATATACTAGATAGCGCATCTCTTTTAGTAAAATTGAAGCCAAGAATAATCCAGCTTTAACCCATTTGAATAGATGGCGGCCATGTTGAAGTTTCCCACTGGCTAATAAACGCTTAAAAACAACAATAACTTTCATCATTTGAATAGTTTGAAAATGTAACTGGAATAGGTTTAACTTAAGTTTAAGTTCCCTGTTTAAGAAATGGAAAACATACGAGTCTTCTCATTTCATGAGAATATCCTGAGTCTGCAATCACGGCTTCAATTTTTGAATTGCAGAATAATTAGATGCACTATCTTGTGTATATAAAATATCTATGATAATAAGCCTTTTTCAGCGCAAGCCTTCGTGGCCTAACGGATAAGGCGTCGGCTTTTTAAGCCGAAGATTGCGTGTTCGAATCTCATCGGAGGTAAATTCCATTGTATGTAATGTCACGAATATAGATTTGACAATGGTCTAACCTTTTGAACTGGGTGCTAAGGATTCAAATTATATAATGACACTTTCTAAGCCAAAACTCGGAAAGAGGAAATAAAATTATAAAATAACATGTATATAACGCGTGCTCTGATTGGTCGAAACCCGTGTTTGGATCAGGCCATCCAAACACGGAAGACTATCGTGTTGTTGTTATTTTATAAAACAATTACTTTATGGTTTCCGTGTTTGGATGGCCTGATCCAAACACTTGGAAATGTTGCTCGAGTTAAGAAAAGCGCGCAAAATCACTCGCCTTCGGCTCGTGTTTCGCGCGCTTTTCTTAACTCTCGCAACATTCCCGCGTGTTTGGATCAGGCCATCCAAACACGGAAACCATAAAGTAATTGTATACTGAAGCGAAACCAAGGAAGACCAAGAGCGGCAGTTCGATGCTTGTCGGAGGCTAATTCCACGTAATGACAAAGATAGGAAAATATATTTGACAAATGAGCAACGTTTTAATTAAATAGTGTGAGCCTTACCATTTCATTGATGGCTTCTAATTATAATGCGCCGTTAGGGCCTGTTCCCACTTAGGTTTGTTTTTGGGAGTGTTTACACTTGGACAACTTGGTGGTTAGCAAAAGGGTTAAAGTTGAGGAGCATATACGGTAGAAAGGATTGGGTGTAGGACTATTTGTAAACTATTAGGGTAGCTGTGGATGGAGTTCTTTCATGAAACAAGCATGGCGGATATTTCTGCAAGAGCGATTTTAACACGACAGTACTTAGAAAAGACAAAAACACGTGCCGAAACATCAAAAAGGACACCAGAAAATGTAGTTAAGATATCTTCACAATACAACAAACGTAATACTGCCATGCTTAACTATTTGAATACCTGCGCGGTAGAAAGACAATTTTGGGTCCAACCAACCAGATGACAGACGCGGTATAGGTTATCGATAGATACCTCCGCATGACGAAAAGCTGTCCCCAACTTTAAAAAAGCCGAGTATCAGATTTAGAATGTCAATTCCTGTTCGACGTGTGAGATCATTTGCCTGTGGCTACTGGCAACAGAAGAAGATCTCTACTCATTATGTCATGGAGATTTGATGTGGCAAAGAGCACAGCATGTGAAATTGTAAACGAAGTTGGCCAGAACATGCCTTGACCACCTTGGTTGGTTCAGCTCGCTTGGTTTTGTGCGTTCATGACATTATAATGCGGACTAAACTAATCCGAACCGAGACCACCTCTGGAAGTAGTCTACTTTAGCTCGGATCGAGATCGATCTTGGCTCGCAAGCGACCAATCACACTTGCTTCTTATGGACTCGAATCGATTTCGGATCGAATTAAAAACGCTAGGGTGAACGGGTTCTAAATCAGGAGATCTATCAGAACTATCAACGTAAGCCTTCGTGGCTTAATGGATAAGGCGTCGGCCTCCTCAGCCGAAGACTGCGGGTTCGAGTCCCGTCGGAGGTAACATAACTACATATAAATAGGTATTTGAGTCCTGTCGGAGGTAAATGTTTTAGTAGGACACGAAAATAGATTCGACAACACAAATATTTTTATTAGCGCGGCCCAAACAATTTTAAATGGCCGCCGATTATTATATATATGCACTAAAAATAGTTGGAGGGAAGAAGACAAAATTTTATAGATACGGAGGTTGATTCAATTTAATGCGAGTGAGGAGGTCAATACTATGATCTCAGGTCCTAAATCTCAGCCTTTTTATTCAATCGTAGGCAGGCGGTTAGAATTGGTAGTGTCCTTTCTCAATGGCAAACTCTGAAGGGAGCAATACCGCAAGGGACTAAACTCGGAGTGGTACTTTTTATGGTCATGACAAATAGCTTACTGGCTAATTGGCATCTCCGTACAAAATTCGTGGATGATACTTCAGCCCTCGAGATTATTCCTATAGGAACTCTATCAGCCTCCTTAATTTTGCAGTCTCTGATATACATGAATTTGCTAATGAACATAACATGAAGCTCAATCCTAAGAAGTGTAAGGAAATGCTTATAAACTTCCTACATAACCCCAATTTCTTACTCCGACCAATCCAAATTGGTAACAATATTATTGAGCGTGTGACAACGTATAAATCTTTGGGTGTCATTTTGAGTAGCGACCTAAAATGGAATCCCTGTATCGAATACATTGTTAAGAAGGCTAACAAAAAACTATACCCTAGCTTTAAGAGTCCTGCGAAGAGCTGGGGTTGACCAAAAGAATTTACTGAAAGTGTACCTGTGTACAGTAAGACCGGTACTTGAATACGCCGTCGCTATTTGGCAAAACATTCCGGATTATCTATCGAAGGAAATTGAGTCGGTCCAAAAACGAGCACTAAAGATAATTTTCTCGGAGAGCGAGTCATATGCGGAGGCCCTGAATTTTGCACAACTACCAACTTTGACCACAAGAAGAGTGCAAAGATGTCAGAAATACATGGTCAGAATGAAGCGAGAAAACCATCCCTTATTGCCAATCCCTGTTGTTCCTGACCATGACATTAATTTGAGACAGAACACTGATCGATTTTATCTATTTAATAATGTTACTGATTGCAGAACAATTAAAGCTCAATCCTTTTTTACATTTAAATACTCTTAATATGTTAAGATTTTTTTAATATATATGAAAATTGTAAATAATTATGCATGCACTATTTACTATTTTGGTAAATGCCTAATGATTTTAACTCTTGTAAATAGCCTAGATTCTAAAGCATATCCATGTACTATATATTTTATAACATATTCTTATTTTTTGTAAAGTACTCGTTAATTCAGTTGTTTCTATAACTGCAAGAGAGTCCTAATAAACTATTATTATTATTATTATTATTATTATTATTATTATTATTATCTGTTAAGTGTTTAAACGTTGTACTGTCATTTTGTTATCTTAATAGTATAATTTTTGCATATATAATCAGTGATTTAAGTAGCCAGTTGTAAATTACCTGATATAAGTGAGATTTGCAATTGTATATATAAGCTAAATATCCATTTAATAAAGTTTTCATTATTATTATTATTATTATTATTATTATTATTATTATGATCACGAACATTTGTTTTGCAATAATAAACTCCTAGAATGTTTTTTAGTTTTATCACTGTAAAATCCTTCTCAGTTATTAGGGATTATAGAGCAGAAGGACTACATATGCAGTTTCAGTTTTCAAGCCTTCGTGGCGTAACGGATAAGCCTTCGTGGCGTAACGGATAAGCCTTCGTGGCGTAACGGATAAGCCTTCGTGGCGTAACGGATAAGTGTCGGCTTCTTAAGCCAAAGATTACGGGGTCGAATCCCGTCGAAGATAAATTCAATTGTTTGTCATGGCACGAGCATAGACCTGACAATGACGTAACCTTTATTAAAGAGGCGCCAAGGATGCAAATCATTAAAATAACACTTCCTATAGCGCGTTTGCACTCATTCCCCAAGGACAAACTCAACAAAAGCCATGCAATGCGGTCATGTTGGTGTTCCAGACAAAATTATTTAATTGAAATTCTTGTGAATTGGAAAACCAACAGTTGCAAAACCAACAGCTAAAACCAGACATAGGCCGTGGCCGTTGGCCAAAATTAATTCGGTCTGTGGCGACCCCCTGGGAAATAGATTTTCTCTGATTCAATGCATAGTAGCATAGATGGTCGATTACCACAAATAGTTCCCAAGCAAAAAACTTGCCTAACACCGAGAAAATGGGTGATCAGTGATTATCCTCTATTAAATTGTACTACAGCAAGAAAATGTGAAATTTTGTATTCAAATACAACAAAAATGACTTGCATCTTCAGACAGCTGACAAAAAACCGCATATAAGACTTTTAAACAGTTTTTTGATTCTTTAAATAGTCTTTGAACTCCGGGAAACTATGCTATTATTATAAGTAATAGCATGGCTTGAGGGAGATTATTGATTAAATGACCCCTTACCCTCGGCAGGTTTGCGGAATTCCCTCCGCCCTCGGGGATTCCGCAAACCTGCCTCGGGTTACAGGGTCATTTAATCACTAATCTCTCTCAAGCCATGCTATTACTTATAATAATGTGAGCCTTATCATTTTACTGATGGCTTCCAATAATAATGCGCCGTTGGGGTCCGTTCACACTTAGCTCCGTTGTAGATCGATCCAGATAATTCAATCTCGGATCGCTTTTTGGGAGGGTTCACAAATGGTGGTTAGCGAAATAGTTAAAGTTGAGGAGCATATCGTAGAAAGGATTATATATGAGTAGCTGTGGATAGAGTTCTTTCATGAAACAAACATGGCGGATATTTCTGCCATAGCGATTTTAATACGACATGTACACGTGCCGAAACATCAAAAAGACAACACCAGACAATGTTAAGATCGATATCTTCACAATACAACAAACGTAATACTGTCATGCTTGAAGTGGAAGTCAAGTCTGTTCTGCGCATCGCTTATGCTCATAACAATGTGAGGACCTCTAATGTGAACATTGCCCAAATTTCGAATGCGACCATACACACTTCGGCTTTTTTCGGACTCAAATCGATTTCCGATCGAATTAAAAACGCTACTGTAAAGCCTTCGTGGCCTAATAGACAAGGCGTCAGCCTCCTAAGCCGACGATTGCGGGTTCGAGTCCCGTCGGAGGTAACATGACGACACATAAATACATTTGAAACCTGTCGGAGGTAAATTCGTTGAAGTGAATGTTTTAGTAGGACACGAAAATAGATTCGATGGCCGCCGATTATTGTGCACTAAAAATAGTTGAAGGGAAGAAGACAAAATTTAAATTTAATGCGAGTGAAGATGTTAATACTTAATATCAAGAAGATTTGTTTGCCAATATAAACTCGTAGAATGTTTTTTAGTTTTATCATTGTAAAATCCTTTTCAGTTATTAGGGATGGTAGAGCAGAAGGACTAAATATGCAGTTTTCAATCAGTTTGGTGTCGGCTTTCTAAGCCGAAGATTG